AATTAATATATGTATCTCATTTGATAATTGTATTCTATCTATGCTCATAGGTACTGATGAGCCATCTTCAAGCCAAGAGGCACAAGAAAATAAGAGTTTGGAAAAAGATGTAGCCATTGATAAAAAGTTGGAGAGTTTGAAGTCCGAGCTAGACAAAATGAAGGAGAAGTTTTCCATCGTAAAGAAAAACGAATTAGAACTCAGGGAAAAATTAAAAGATGTGGAAGATCTTCTTCAAAACTTCAAGGAAAAAAGTTTCACAGAGCATTTCAATCCTGCAGGAGATGCTAATCAAAGTCAAACATCTGGGGAGAAGTTGGTGGATCAACTCAAAGCCACTGGTATTTTATATGTAAAATCAACATCGTATTATAGTCAGTATTTTAATATGGTTTTAAATTGCGATAGACAACAACAATTGCTGTCACAACATTAAAGTTTTCAACTCATGGCAAGAGAATTTAAGTGCAATTGCGATCACATCACCTACATTTTCCTATAAGTTTTTACAATTTTAAAGATTACAATGCAATTGTGATTGCGACTGTAACTGCAATTTAGAGTAATAATAATCATTAAATCTTATATTATCATATCAAATAAATGTGGTACCCATATTTTATCAATGCTCGTAGGTATTGATAAGCCACCTTCAAGCCAAGAGACAACACAAGAGAAGAAAAGTGAGGACGAAGGCGTACCCATTGATGAAAAGTTGGATAGCTTGAAGTCTGTGATAGATATCACGAAGGCGAAGTTTTCTGCAGTTAAGAAAAATGAGGAAGTCTTGGACATGTTAAGAGCCACGAAAGATCTTCTTCAAAACTTCAATGCAAAAGGTTCTGCTGAGATTGTCGAGCCTGCACAAGATTCTAAAGAAAATGACACAAAAGGTCAATAGTGTCTTCGATATATATAAAAAGGTCAATAGTGTCTTCGATATATATATATAAGTATTTTATAATAGTGTGATATTCAAACTAAAGTTTTTTATTTTTTATAACTAAAAAATTATAATAAATAAGTATTTATATCATATAAATTATATTTTAGATATATCATATTTAATTTATATTATAATATAAA